TATATATATATATATATATATATATATATATATATACATATATATATCCATATATATATATATATATATATATTTATTTATTTATATATCCATATCACAAAGAAACAATCTTATTATTACATCCGACCTTATTCTCTCTTTATCTATTTATCATTTATCATGGTTAACCCTCGTAGTAAATTATTGAGTATTAATCTATATATTCATTTTGATAAATGTTCTTTTAGAAAATTTTGTAATGAACAAATTTGAATCTCGTTCTAAGCGAGATTCGCACAAGTCTTCATGATATAAGAAAAATGGAAATGCCACATGGGAGTATGAAGATTTGGCAACATTCTGAAGTGATGAAATGGGACATTGTCTAACAAAGCATGACACTTAATGTGCCATCTTCAATATTTTAGTCACTATAGGTATGTGACATTTAGAAGTGCAATGGGACATTGTCTAAGAAAGCATAACACTTATAAGTGGCATCATAAATTCTTTAATCACTATTAATTATCATTTCAATTTTAGGTATGTTTGTAAGTCAATGGATTTGAGGATGGTGCATGTTAGGGAAGTTGAAAGCAAAACAACATAGGAATCACTAGAAATCATCCACGGATGAAGTGAAAAGTGAGGTCTATGGTCACTCTATGTTGACTTTGTTTAGGAAAGTTAGGTTTAGGGTTGATGTTTAAGTATCATGTAATTTGTAGGGTGTATAAATAAATAAAAGTCGATAGATTTGATGGTGGTACATGTTGGGGAAGTCTATGTTAGAAGCAAAAGAAAATAGAAATCGTTAGAAACCATCCAGTCGTTGAAGCTGAACTTTATGGTCCATATTTGTTGACTTTGCTAGGAAAGGATCTATTATAGTTACAAATGAGACGTAAGAGTGACATGAAACCTTAAGTCCATGATGTATTGGATGACTAATAATCCCAAAAAATTAGGCTTTTGATAAATGAAATGATACGTTTATACAATTTAACACAATTGATAAAATAATAAATTATCTAAACATTGATCCTAAATGATTAAATCAATAGAGAAAAATCATTTACAGATGAAATGAATATCGAGAACATCACTATATCATTAGAGTGGTATGATCCGACGATTTGACCTACTCTAATATCATGATAAAATAAAATGTTAATTGCTATTTTGCCTAGCTTTCTTAGCCGACCTAATCATGGTTATGCTAAACTAAGTGACACCAAATTAAACAAAAAAAAAAAAATTCCTTCCCAGCATATAAAAGTACATCGATATGAAAAATAAATATATGATTGATATATATATATATATATATATATATATATATATATATATATATATATTTATATATTTATATATATAGTACTGAACCTTTGCTTTTATCAATAGTGTTATGTCTCCATTATGTTGGTTGATGTGCTTGGGGGGGCCAACAGCAAAGCGACACACTAGATTTTAGGCCAGTTACTCATATGGATGAGTAACATGGGCAAGGACAGCATCTGCCTCCATCAAATAGGTTATCCACATCCAGGTACATTTAATATACATTTTCATGTGATGGCAGCAGCATGCATGCACTGAAATCTCTCTCTGCACACCCCAAACTTATCCTTTCCTCGGCCTCAGTCATGTGATACCAGAAGCACTGACCGAAGCTTGATGGAGAGAGAGAGAGAGAGAGAGAGAGAGAGAGAGAGAGAAGCTGTTCTTGGCATGGCTTTTGGGTTCACTTGTTAAGGGTGATGGCCTCCGTAAAGTTGGCCTAAACATAAATGACAGGAAGAGCCATGAGCATGTGAGGCATATGATGATGTTTCCCTGGGCATCAGTTCCTGCATTGTTTAATGCATGGTGGCCAGTTTCCAAGGTTCATCGTATGTGCTGCGGATTGAAGTCCATGACAACAACAAAAAGGTTTGGGCAGGTCCAACATATGAAAAGATAGTAGTGACAAGCCTTTGTTTCAATTGAGTGAGGAGTACCGAGTGCAGGCAAGAGATGGCAGGCAAAAGAACAATGCATGCCGTGAGACAACTTTGCATTTTTACTAGTTAGCTAGTACAATAAATGCAATATACGATTTAGTTTCACATTGTATGCGAGAGAAGATTAAGTTGGTTTCATAAAGCTACGACTAACGAATCATTTATTCTATCTAACCAAATTGTGGTATTAAATTTGCTCTAATGTTAAAACATAAGATTGTCCCTCAGGGTTGATGGTGCATCCTAATCCTAAACATAGGCATAGAGATTACGAGAGAGAAACGAAAGCATCGAGTAAGCATACTGTGTAATGTTTGAATGGAAGGAACCAATTAAAAAAGAATACATGTGGTGTCCGGTAAACCATACTTATGTGATTTGCTGCTGAATTACTTTTGGGTCATGACAAAGATGTGGACCTTTAGATGAAGAAATTATCATAATTTATTTTAATTTCATCAGATATATTAACTTGAGAATAAGTATTCTTGAACCGAATGGTGTTCGAACTTATTAACTTGATAGATTAAATATCTAGTTAGGATAATAATGCTTGTCTTACATCGTGATCATGAAACTTCATATCAGAAACAGCGAAATATTCAGCAAGAACTCTCTTGGTCCTATTAGTTGATCCGTTGATCTTTTCTCCCTTATAATAACTGCAATCAATGAGAAAATTGAGGATCTTCCAAACGAGTCTATCTAGCATCTATAATACTTTGCCATCAGAAATCTATTTGCCCAAAAGGTTGGACATTATCTATTAGAAAAATATAAGGATGACCAACAGGAAATCAATTATAAATAAGAAACATAAGATCAAGTATTTAGGCATGTATAAATATTTTTTTTAAAATGATATTTACATCCTCTTCTCAA